TTCTCCTCCTCTTTGTTCGTCCTGTAAGTTGATCAGAGGCCATTTTTCGGACCTCACATACCGCTACGGATTCTCTCAGTGATAGCAGTTTAAAAATAAAATTATTATGATTTATTGTTGTATAAAAGAATATTGTTAAAAATATCTGAAATTTAAAGTTATTAAGTGCAATTCTTTACTACAATATTCTGCTTTTCATGTGACGTCACATTACTTGAGGGCCCCCCCTCCCCCTCGTCCCACGTCATCACAAAAATCTGTGCCCCCCCCCCCCCCCCGACGCGTTGATGTCATTATGTTTGGCCCCTATTTAACTATTTTTTAAAATTTTTAAATTGTAATAAAGTAGATAGTAGTAGGTCTGAAACTGAAAAATTTTGATACATTTTTGTTAGGCCACATCAAAATAAATGTTAATTTTATAATTATAATTTTAAAACAGACAATGAAACAGCATCTGTTTTCATGAGGCGTAACCTCAATTCCTATTTATAATCATATTTATTGTCTTGTTCATTGTTAACTTAGAATTAGATAAATTTTAATTTAAAATAAGCTTAATTGCTGTATATGGTTAATAATTAGGGTTACCATAAGTCCTTGTATAAAAAAAGAGAATGCTCACAATTTTCATCAAAACCTGGTTACCAACCATTAGCTGGCTCCTAGGGCTACGCCAAAATTAAGTGTTGTACAAATAACAGTACAGTTAAACTACATAAAATATTGTTATTATTGCAAATGGTTGCAATTATAAAACTTGTATCGAGTGCTCAGTACAAATGACATTACACTGACTGATTTTTGCATACAATCAGAACAGAATTCGGTCACTGTTTTTAATAAGCGACAACTGCGGTACATTGGTTTATAGCTGTGATGGTGCTTGACAGTGTAAAACACAAATATTCCTTGAGCTGCTGAAAAAAAAATTCATCGCTTTTCAAACTTGGTGTTATGCAAATTTGGTAACTTTGATAGATGAAGTTTTTCCGACAACACTGTTTACATGCTACAGCATTGCGACGTGCGCCTTTAATTCAAGTGCACCCTTTAGGGCAATGGAGATATAAGATCCGCTGCTGCATATAAAAATTCAGCTGTCCCATCATATCGACCTGCCCGATGACCTGGGTATTGGGTTTTCAGTGTGTCTGTAAATAAACACTTCTGCATTTTTTAAATCAAATATTTCTTTATTTATCTTGAAAAATTAATTATTTATCAAATATCGGGAACTCCAGTTACTGTTATGCATAATGTT